GGTCTCAATGGGGTTATGGGATCTTCTGTGGAGGGGGGTCGTGAGGTGAAGGGGTCTGGGGTCAAAGGTCAGGGGTCACGTGGGGTCATGGAGGTCAGGGGTCACACAGGGTCACGGGGTCTAATGGGGTCGATATGGGGTCTATGGGGTTATGGGGTCATTTGCATAGGGGGATCATGAGGCAATGGGGTCACGGGTCAAAGGTCAGGGGTCACGTGGGGTCAATGGGGTCCCTATGGGGTCTAATGGGGCTTTTAGTGGAGGAGGGTCACGAGGTCATGGGTCAAAGGTCAGAGGTCCCATGGTGTCATGGGGTCTTTTGTGGAGAGGGGCTGTGATGGGACAGTGTCAGGGGTCAAAGGTCATGGGGTCACATGGAGTTGAATAGGGTCCCTATGGTCCTTATGGGGGCTATGGAGGCTTTGAAGAAGAAAAGTCATGGGTCAAAGGTCAGAGGTCACAGGGGTCACATGGGGCCATGGAGGTCAGGGGTCACGTGGGGCCTATAGAATCGAATGGGGTCTTTAATGAAGAGGGGTGTGAGGTGATGGGGTCAGGGGTCAAAGGTCAGGGGTCACATGGGGTCATGTGGGGTCAGGGGTCACACGGGGGTGGGGGTCACATGGTCTAATGGGGTCCCTATGGGGTCTCTATGGGATTATGGGGTCTTTTGTGGAGAGGGGTCGTGAGGTGATGGGGTCAGGGGTCAAAGGCCAGGGGTCACATGGGGTCAGAGGTCACGTTGGGTCATGTGGGGTCTAATGGGTTCCTATGGGTCTGTGGTGTTTCTATGGGGTCTTTCGTGAAGAGGGGTCGTGAGGTCATGGGGTCAAAGGTCAGAGGTTATGGGGTGAGGGCAGTAATAGGGTCACAGGGGTTATGGGGTCAGGGATTATGGGGTCACAGTGGTGATTATGGGGTCATTGGGTTATGGGGTCAGGTTATGGGGTCACAGTGGTGGTTACGGGGTCAGGTTATGGGGTCATGGATTTATGGGGTCACAGCGGTAGTTGTGG